AATTCTATAATTCTATAATTCTATAATTCTATAATTCTATAATTCTAATTCCATTCAATTCCAATTCCAACTCAAATTCCAATAATTCAAATTCCCTTCCCTTCCCTTCCCTTCCCTTCCCTTCCCTTCCCTTCCGTTCCGTTCCGTTCCGTTCCGTTCCATTCCATTCTATTCTATTCTATTCTATTCTATTCTATTCTATTCTATTCACTGGGGTGGGGTCCAGAAGAAACCTGCTTAAAACATACCACAGTGGGATTAACAGTGTAGGTTTCTGCTCCTCGCTTCACTGAAAACGACGGGACACGTTTTTTAACAAAATGTTTATGTGCTTGGAGAAAACCAACGCGCCTCCAATGCTTTCGCTCCAGAAGGCCAGAAAAAAAAGCATCGATTTGCCCTCCCATCAGAGGCAAGAAAATGTACCAGCAGGAGAAGAACAAATAAATAAATAAGGGAACCCGATGAAAAATTTAAAGTCTTCTGAAGCCTTCGGTTCCCATGTGGAAGAAGAAAATTGAATTTGCTCGGGTTTCTGCAAGGTTGTGTTTGATCAACATTGCAAGGGGTGGGCAGATAAGGTCATGGAAACTCCCGAAATATTGGAAGCAGGGAGCGATAAAGGGAAGCAGTGGTTTCTGGGAACTCCATCTTCCATCATCAAAAGCTGGTCTCTCCGTTGTCTGGCAAGTGGAAAACACACTTGAAATTAGACTTTTTTTTTTTCCCAGAGGGAAAGTGTATAAGACAGATTCTCACTCAGCTAAAGGCCATGGAAGGGTACTGCCTGATCATTTGGAAAAACAGAAAGGACTTGGCCTGTTGCTGTAGAAGTTTCTTTGAGTGCTTCCTTCTTTTTCTCCATTGATGGCTGCATTGCATCAAAGGATGAATTTGGTGCTTTAAGTTTTGCTAAAGTTTTTTTTTTAAAAGTTTTGCTTAAGTTTTTCTGACCCTGGCTGATTCTCCATCTGAAAAAAGTTTCGTAGGAAAGGTATTTTTTCAAGAGGCAACTGTTCTCATCCAACAAGCTTCTTCAGCTCTGGATGAGAAGTAAGCTGAAGACGTGTCTTGGATGAGAAGAAGCAAAATGTCTTCAAAGAAAAACCAGAAAGTCCAGTTTCCTCTTGAAAAAGCACCTCTGGGACAAAACCATGACCTGAATGATTGAGAATCTCCAAAGACATTTAGCTATGCCAGAACTGAAGAAGCTTCTTAGATGAGAAGCAAAAGGTCTTCAAAGAAAAACCAGAAAATCCCGTTGCCTCTTGGAAAAGCACTTTTGGGACAACCATGACCTGGATGACTGAGAATCTCGAGACTTTTATAGGAAATGTTCTCCCCAGATGTTTTTCTTAGAGATTCTCTTTAGAAGACCTTGAGGTCTTAATATGAGTCAGAAGTGTGAGCTGCAGCTGCCAAAAATGCCAACACAGTTCTAGGCTGCATTAACAGAAATTTATTATTTAATTAATTTATTAATTCAATTTGTATGCCGCCCCTCTCCGAAGACTCAGGGCGGCTAATATAGAATCAAAATCATGGGAAATGTTAATACCACTCTATAATCCCTTACCACTTGGAATACTGCATGTAGTTTTGGTCAGCACAATATAAAAAATGATGTTGAAACTCTGGAAAAAGTGCAGAGAAGATCAACAAAGATAGTTAGGGGACTGGATGCTAAAACATATAAAGAACGGTTGCTGCAATTGGGTATGTCTAGTTTAATGAAAAGAAGGACTAGGGGAGACATGATAGCAGTCTTCCAATATCTCAGGGGCTTCCACAAAGAAGAGGGAGTCAAGCTATTCTCCAAAGCACCTGAAGGCAGGACAAGAAGCAATGGGTGGAAACTCATCAGGGAGAGAAGCAACCTAGACCTAAGGAGAAATTTCCTGACAGTTAGAACAATTAATCAATGGAACAACTTGCCTCCAAAAGTTGTGAATGGTCCTACACTGGAAGTTTTTAAGAAGAGATTGGACAACCATTTGTCTGAAGTGGCATTGGGTTTCCTGCTTAAGCAGTGGGTTGGACTAGAAGACCTCCAAGGTCCCTTCCAACTCTGTTATTCTGAAACCAAGGTGGTGATGTGTTTGCAGATCCATTCAGAGATCTTTAAATCTATGTAGAGTCCTGGCTGATGTTCAGCATAGGAAAAGGTCCACATTCCCCTTTTAATTGGAATATTTCATGGGTCAGCTGTGCCATTTTTGGCTCCATCGGTATCGATTAACAATTGCACTCAAAGGAGTTATTATTCAGAGAGCTCATAAATAAAAGGGTAGGACAGAAATAGCAGAAATAAACATCCACGCCTGGATTTGCGAAGGCATGCAAAATAAAGGATGTTTTTTTGTGCTGCAAATTAGCCAAGGGTTCGACGTTGGAGCCCTTTGCAAATGCCAAGGTGGAAAATAAAAAAATAAAAAAGTTATTTCCAAATGTCACGATTAAAATATCAACGCACGGTTTTTAAACCACAGAATCGGTTCTCCCAAATGTGGAGACAATGACCCCATTTATATCTTTAAAAAAAAAAAAGGAACAACATAAATTATGGATCGGAGGTCTAATCAGTATGTATTGGTCTACAGGATAACATGTCTTTAATACAAAAAACCATATGGCTATGTTTTTCCCAGTTGCAATGGATGGCTGTGAAAGTTGGACCATAAGGAAGGCTGAGCGCCAAAGAATTGAGGCCTTTGAACGATGGTGCTGGAGAAGACTCCTGCGAGTCCCTTGGATTGCAAGGCCATCCAACCGGTCAGTCCTAGAGGAGATCAACCCTGACTGCTCTTTAGAAGGCCAGATCCTGCAGATGCAACTCAAATGCTTTGGCCACCTAATGAGAAGGAAGGACTCCCTGGAGAAGAGCCTAATGCTGGGAAAGATGGAGGGCAAAAGAAAAGAAGGGGACAACAGAGAAGGAGGTGGCTGGATGGAGTCACTGAAGCAGTCGGCGTGAGTTTAAATGTACTCCAGAGGATGGTAGAGGACAGGAAGGCCTGGAGGAACATTGTCCATGGGGTCGAGATGGGTCGGACGCGACTTTGCAAGCAACAAGAACTAAGTATTTGAGTTTCCTCTTCAGGATCTGCCCTTCTAAAGAGCAGTCAGGGTTGCTCTCCTCTAGGACTGACTGGTTGGATCGCCTTGCAGCCCAAGGGACTCGCCGTCTAAGTTTCCACTTGGGCCTTATTGATTCTAATAGATCAATAGGTTATATTTTCATTTCCCACATTACCAACCCTTTTCTGGCTGTATCCTCAAATTGGCCAAGTTGAGGTAATGGAACGTTGTCTGGAATCACAGGAGGGAGGGATTTTTTTTCCCCAGAGGACAAAGAGACAACATAACTTGGAATTTTTGGTAGGCAGGAAAAAAAAAAGTGAAGGTGAACCCTCTGTAGATATACACAGAACAGAATATAGTTGTGGGAATAGTTGCTTTAGCCTGGCAAGATTCTGTCTATAGGCAGAATGAAGAACTACCCACAAGTTCACATGTTGTTCTTGAGAGAGACAGCTGCTTAGAAAGCATGGCTAAGTCATGTTCTTAGAGAAGCCACACCCTTACTCCAAAGAGAAAGTTCTTACCGTCAGCAATGAAGTGCTCAGGGACATGAAGGGTCACTTTGACCGTGAGTGGACAGGAGATCTGGGTGCCACAGACCATAGCCAGGATGCAAGAGCTCACAGCAACTAAGGTGAGGGCCGTCTTGTTCACTGGGCTTTTGAGGGAACCTGGAGAAGAGAAACAAGCATACAAGACACATTACAAAAAGGAAGTTCTCATCTCAAAAAACATTCAATTGGGTCCAGTTCTCGGAGGCTGCCTTGACCTGTTCCTTCAGTTTTCTTGGCAAGTTTTTGTCATTGTCTCCTTCCTGGGTTTGAGAGAAAGGGACTGGCCCAAGATCTACGATGGGACTAGAACTCATGTTCTCCTGCTTTCTAGCCTGATGTCACAACCGCTACATCAAACCGGCTCTTCTCCAAGTCATATGGAATGTGAAAGGATTCAGGGTTTTGCATCAGTACAATAATTAAGTCAGCCTTCAGAATATAATTAAAAGCCCACCAGTATTAGCTGGCATGACCAGCCCTGAGACCGGATTGGCAGTCCAAGATGCTGATGACCAGCAGTGGGTTTCACATTTTGTTACCATCAGTTCGCCATGCGTGCATGCTCGCTTCTCTCATGTGTGTGCCTTCATGCAGGTGCCTGGCCTTCTATACAGGTGCTTTGCTCGTGCGTGTCCAGCCTAACAAAATTGCCTAAATAGGACGGCATAGAGCCAGGGCATGTGGGCAGTCCCACCTGTGATTTCTGCTACTGCTTTGGGTGAACCAACTCAAACCAGCTGAATACCACATCTGCTGATGACCCCATGTAACCAAGCCCTGTTGGAAAGGAAAGGTTTAATATCTTTCAGAGCGACATCTTATCAATGGATACCAGAAGTACTTAAATGCAGTCACACCTCTCCCATGTTACACTTTGATTCAAAGAAAATCCAGCCAAAGGTCCTGTTAAGGAATTCGCAGAGCAACCCTAAAGTAGCAAGGGTGTGCACATGAAAGCGATTGAGAGCAGTTGCGAAATAACACAGCCAACACACAGATACACTGAGTTGTGTTTACTTTCAGGAAAATAGTAATAAGGCACAGTCCAATAAACAGTCCAGGTCATACACAGATAAAGCAGTAGATAGTAAAACAATAGTCCAGGGATATTCCAATAACAAAGTCTTCTTACCAGTTGTCGTAGTCATACACAATAAATAGTTGCAAACAGTATCAAACACAGCGCAGAGCAGTAAAGAGCAGTAACAATCAGCAAGGAGTATCAAAGAGAAACCAACCCTGTTTCAAGCTCTCTCTTAAGAACATTGGCTACAGAGCAAGCCAATCAGGACACAGTATGATGCAATACAGCAATACAGTCTTAAAGCTATAATGCTGGTTTATATATTGCCAACCCAACAAGTTAGGTAATTATCATTTCCTCTTTTCCTCTTTCCTCTTTTTAAATGGGAATTTTAAATTTGGTTTTAAATTGGGGTTTTAAAATGGTTCAGCCAAATTTATTTAATTTGTTTTATCTCTATTTTAAATTTTGTATTTATATGTTTTATTTTATGGCTGTTCACCGCCCTGAGTCCTTCGGGAGTAGGGCGGTATACAAATTTAATAAAATGAAAATGAAATGAAATGAAAACAGGTCCGATATTTTTATTCCGGGTTCCAAGCTAAAAAATTGCCAGATCTGAGTACTGAGAAATAATCATTTGTTCTCGGTCTTAAGCACGAAAAAGGGAAAAGGGCTTAGGGAACAGAATCCCGGCTATCAATTCATCTGCGATGAGCGGTTATGTATAATTCAGGGATTCCAGGAGATTGACGGAGCTGAACTTCCTCGTCTCGCTGAATTCGGACGGATGGATCAGTTGATCCTGGTAATAAGTGAGGAAGGAGATTGAGGTATGACACAGAATGTCCCACAGGTGCTTTTTAAAAGGCGACTGGGTTTTCTTTGCGCCTTTGGGACGCAGGTGATCGGAATGACTGAGAATCTTCATACTGTCAGCGTTCCAGAAAACCCCAACTCCAATTAAAAACTCCAAGACAAACATTTTCTCAAAGTTCCATTTATGAGAGTATGTATACTGGCACATCTGGAAAAACCCGAATCTGAGAGTCCCGGGTTTTCCCTCGGTAAATCAAAACCCCCAAAACCATCCCCTCACTCATCAGTCAATCACATTGTCCAATCACCATCCGTCCCATCTCGAGACATCCCTCCAACCACTCCTTCCCCAGATGCAGGATTTTCCTGACCTTGACCAAAAGGAAGAATGCTGTTTTGTCTAACTACATTCCCTCTACTAAATCCCCCCTCCTACTTTCCCCACACATGAGAAGATGGCAGCGTGGAAGCTTCCGGGGCTAATATGGCTTCCAAAGCTGGCACATACACACTCAACACAGAGTAAAGGACACATCCTTAAAAGTTCCTATTCAAGTAGTATCTGTCTCTTGCATCAACAGAGAGATAGAATCAAGATCACGTGAAGTGTTAATACCACTTTATGATGCCTTGGTAAGGCCACACTTGGAATACTGCATCCAGTTTTGGTCACAACGATGTTAAACAAAGATGTGGAGACTCTGGAAAGAGTGCAGAGAAAAGCAACAAAGATAATTAGGAGGCTGGAGGTTGAAATATAGGAAGAACAGTTGCAGGAACTGGGTATGTCTAGTTTAATGAAAAGAAGGACTGGGGTGATATAATAGCAGTTTTCCAATATCTCAGAGGCTGCCACAAAGAAGAGGGAGCCAAGCTATTCTCCAAAGCACCTGAGGGCAGGACAAGAAGCAATGGATGGAAACTAATCAAGGAGAGAAGCAATTTAGAACTAAGTCAATCAGTAGAACAACTGGTCTCCAGAAGTTGTGGGTGCACCAAAACTGGAAGTTTTTAAGAAGAGGTTGGATAACTATTGGTCTGGAGTGGTGTAGGGTTTCCTGCCTGGGCAGGGGGTTGGACTAGAAGACCTCCAAGGTCCCTTCCAACTCTTCTCTTCTCTTCTCTTCTCTTCTCTTCTCTTCTCTTCTCTTCTTTCTCTTCTCTTCTCTTCTCTTCTCTTCTCTTCTCTTCTAGAATATTTGGAATTTAGAAGCCTGTTGGGTTTCTGATCTTTTTTTTCAGCCACCTAGCCACCAATAAAGTCTCTGTCCTGTTTTCCAGCTCTTGATGGTCTGCAGAAGATAAAGGGTGAGTTTTTTTTTTTTTAATTTGATTTATATGCCGCCCTTCTCCGAAGACTCAGGGCGGCTTACAATGTGCTCAGCAATAGCCTTCATCCTTTTGTATATTTATACAAAGTCAGCTTATTGCCCCCAAAACTGGGTCCTCAATTTACCTACCTTAGAAAGGATGGAAGGCTGAGTCAACCTTGAACCTTGGCGAGATTCGAACCCTGCAGTAATTGCAGGCAGCTGGTCTTAATAACCAGCTTAATAACAGGGTGCCTTAAACCCCTGTACTACCAAGTTTGACCATGGTGAACCAGAACTCCATATGAGTGTATCTCTCTTCCAGTGGTGAAATCCAATTTTTTTTTAACTACCGGTTCTGTGGGCATGGCTTGGTGGGCGTGGTCTGGCTTGGTGAATGTGGCTTGGTGGGCATGGCAGAGGAAGGATAGGGCAAAATCCCCATTCCCACCCCACTCCAGGGGAAGGATACTGCAAAATCCCCATCCCCATCCCACTCTGGGGCCAGCCAGAGGTGGCATTTGCCGGTTCTCCTGAACTACTGAAAATTTCCGCTACCGGTTCTCCAGAACCTGTCTGAATCTGCTGGATTTCACCCCTGTTCTCTTCCATTAAGTTAAATTGATCTGCTCTGTTGGAAGGACTCAAATCCAACCCATGAAAAAAGAAAAGAAAAGAAAAGAAAAAAGGAAGCAGCTTTCTAAAGGAATGCAGTTCTTTCCTACTTTTCCAAGAATCCAGCTCTCATCGATAGCCTGCCTCATCCCAAACATTTATGGTTGCATTAACTTATTTCTTTTAATCGACAAAGGAAACTCAACGTAGCAAATCACAAAAGTGCAATTTCTTAAATTCCAAGGGAACCTTTTCTCTCCCTTTTTATCTCCATCCAAGGTTAGACTGCACATTTCTCACACGTAGCCACAACAAAAGACGTGATAGACACAAAAGATGTGATAGACACAAAAGACGTGATAAACACTCGTCGCTGGGAAGGATGTAAGTCAACCCAGCATTTTAGAACAAAGTTTAGTAGGAGTTGACGCAGTACGTGGGCAGATCCCTTCCTTCCTGCAAATCACTTGTTAGTCACAAAACCTTTTTCATCTTTCAAAGTCGTAGACACACAAAGGGTTTGTAGGCAAGTGTGGGCTGATGTTTTTTTAGACAGCATGAAGACCGTGATGGGAAAAGGAAAGTCTCATCCCTGAGCAGCCCAAAGATTGGAGACTGTTCTTGCTGTTTTGGTAGACCATGGAGCATGAAGGATGGCCAGAAACGCCAGGAGCTAGAAAAACAATTTGGAACTGGCCCTACCTTTGAGTCTATGTGAAACGGAACAAACAAGGATTTTACAAAAGAAATAAATAAAGTCTACTTCCCAGGGCTTTCTCTAGATGGATAGACAGCTGACAGATAAATAGATAAATGATAGATGATGATAGATAGATAGATGATAGATAGATAGATAGATAGATAGATAGATAGATAGATAGATAGACAGATAGACAGATGATAGAAGGAAGACAAATAGATAGACAGACACAGATAGATAGTAGCTAATGATAGACAGTAGCTAGAAGATAGAAGATAGATAGATAGATAGATAGATAGATAGATAGATAGATAGATAGATAGATGGATGATGGATGATAGAAGATAGATAAATAGATAGAGATATGATAGATGATAGACAGAAGATAGCTAGATAGTAGATGATAGATGATAGACGATAGATGATGATAGATAGATAGATAGATAGATAGATAGATAGATAGATAGATGATGGATGACAGACAGACAGACAGATGATAGAAGATAAATAGATAGAGATATGATAGATGATAGACAGTAGATAGATAGTAGATGGTAGATAGATGATAGACGATAGATAGATAGATAGATAGATAGATAGATAGATAGATAGATAGATATGATGGATGATAGAAGATAGATAAATAGAT